TACCTACCTTATTTTACTTCACAACCACCCTGTGAGGTCGGTAGAAAAAGACACAAATATTGTATAATTCCACTTTCATGAGGTATCTGAAGTGGTCACCCATTAAATAATTCCTCTTTTCCCTTTCCCCCAGTCTGCGCTAAGTATCATCCTACATTGTGGAGACTGATTGCCAACAACATAAATATACTTAACAGTATTGAACTGCATGGCTAAGATGGTAAATTTTATTGTCTGTATTTTATAATTTAAAAAAATGACTGCCTGCAGTTCAAAACCTTTCCCCTGCAGCCACTTCCTATACCATTTTTTTATACTTTTATTTTATTTATTTATGTGGGTGGTGTTGAGAATAGAATCCAGGGCCTGGCATGTGCTAGGTGAGTGCTCTATGGCTGAGCCAAACCCCAGCCCCTTCCTATACCATTTTTAATGTAGCAGATATCAGATTAAATTCTTTTATTTACACATCTATTGCTAGTTTCATGCCATTATAATAATAATCTCTATTAGGCCATGGGTTGCTAGTTGCCCAATTAAATAACTGCTGACTGAAAAGTGTATATGGTCAACCTGCCACCTAATGCTCTGAATTCTCTCCTATAACTTAGAAAATCTATGATTATTCTTCTTTTCTTATATTCAGTTTATTTCTCAACTGCATTCTCCCCACCAATTTTCTGACATCCTCCTTTAGTGATTATCCTATTGCCCCTTCAGAGCAAAATAGAAAGCTGATGAGGAAACTAATTAGAATCACTATCTTCATATTCTGCCTCTGTTCCTCCGTCCTTTCTACTTCAGTATCTAACTTCCTAACCACACTGATCAAGGGACAGTGACCTCCAGATCACTAAAACCAAAGGATAGTTCATGTCCTTACCTCGCTTCATTGCTTAGCAGCACCACCGGGCACTGAAATCTCTTTCCCCACTATTTCTTTTTCTTTACAAACTCACCCTCTACTAATGTGCTCACTGAATGCTGGAACTCCATGACACTATCTTAAGCCCTTTCCACACTTCAGACACTAGACCCAGGCAGTCTCATCCTCACCCGCTACTTTAATAAAATCATCCAAATAGGCAGAGGATTGAAATCTCCAGCCCAGGTTCTCCTCTACTTTCCGGATCAATATTTCCAACTGCCCTGCGAGGCAAGTCTTGGATATTTCAACTTAATACAACCCAACTGAGCTCACCCTCCACCTCCATGTCTGTCTGATTCTCTTCCCTATCCCATGTTGCTTCCACTCAGTTGCTATAGTCTTGGGATTTGGAAATCATCCTTGATTCTTCCCTAGCTCCATATCTAAGGCATCACCAGCTCATCTGTTTTAGCAGGCGAGCATTTCTTTGTCAATGTTCTTCATGGACCAAACAGTCCATCACCTCTTGTCTTGGTGTTTCACAGTATGAACAGTAACCTCTGTCACTAAAATCCTGTCCTTAACAACTAGTGATCCTTTTTAAACATTAATTTTCTGTCATTCCTCTTGCTTAATAATTCCCCATTGTTCTTCATATGACCTACCAGACTGTAGGGTCTGGCCTCTATTTTTGGAGCCCTGATTAACTCATCCTTCTCTTCATTATAGTCTTTGATTTGGCATCATTTGCTTTCACCCACTTGAGCTTCCTGTGGTGCTTCCCATGTAGCCTTGCTACATACTCTTCCCACTGTCAGGAGACTTTCCAATCTGCACAATGAACTCCTGCATTTTCACCACAATCAGTTGTGGTAATTTGGGGAAAATTTTAAGTTCTCTTTACTTGATGACAGAACCTTCTTCACATGGTACTTGTAAAGTGCTCCTAAGTGGCCAGCACTTAGTAAGAGCTTGCCATCAGCCTGATTGTCATCTACTTAACCGGGCCAATTCTGTTACTCTCTTTTTCCTAATATTTGTAATAAAATTTAACTTTTCCTGTGATATTATAAAGTATCCTGTGCCACAGCATAGAACCTGGCATGGGATAGGATGCTCCATAAATATCAAAAGACACCAAGAGGATACCTACAGACAAAAGAATATAATCGTATGAGGAAAATGAGCTGAATTAATATAAAATTCTGACATTTAGGTTTGAATAGAGTAGCTGCCTAAGTACTGGGCCAAACAGAATGGAGACTTGTCACTTGATCACAAATCTTATAATGACGAAGCTGGTAAAATAACTGAAATACTTGCTTCCACACTGTAAGTGTCCAGATAACTGAATGCTCCCATTCCACTGTACTCAGAAACAAGTCACACCACACTATTTATTGTTAGGGTTTATCAAGTACATAAGCTGACATAAGTCGTCCAACAACTTTATAAAATGAAGGGAGGAAATGCACGGGGTATTCAGGCTGAGAAAGGGAGCTGAAGAAATAACTAAAATCTAGCCCAAAATTTAATTTATGACAGACATTTGAGAGAGGTGACTTTTGTTTAGGATTAAGAATTTTATGCCAACTAAAGCTAGCCACAAAGTAGAACAAGCTCCCATTGTGCATCTCATCTGTCACTCAAACTTCTGACTCTCATCCATAAGACAGCTTGCTTCAGTGGTAGAGTGCTCTGGGTTCAACCTCAGAACCAAAAATTAAAAAATTTTTAAAAATAAAATTGATTTTATTCTTAAAACATTATACACAATGTGTACCTTACTGTGTTAACACTGAGAATTGCATTTTACTTACCACCTAGTTCAGTTGCTGACCCATGAAGATATTCCTTGTTTATTATGGCTTCACACATTACCTAGCACAAGACCGTGTGTATTTGTGGTCCCACAATTTGAGGAAAGAGAATACTCAAGAAGGTGGATAGCAGTTTGTTAGGGTAGGAAAAGGGACATTGTAGAAGAAATTCCCTGAAGGGAACCCTTTCTTTATTGCATGGCTCATAGTTCCCTGCAGTTTTTTGTTTTGTTTGTCATTTTTGGGGATGGGGAGCAGTGGGGATCAAACCCAGGGCACCTGCTACCCCTGGGCTCTAACATCAAGCCAAACCCCTCAGCCTTAACTTTTTTTTTTTTAAAGAAAGGTCTGGCCAAGTTGCCCAGTCTGGCCTTGAACTTTCAATACTCCTGCCTCAGCCTCCAGAGCAGCTGGGATTAAAGGTATATGTCACCATGCCCAGCTTTGCTCCCTAGCTTTTAATCATTTAATAAACTTGTAAGTTTCCTGGGGGGGGCCAATATCTCATAGTGCATCAAGTGATTTTCAAACTCTGCTGAAATTCCAATTCCAATTCCAAGTCCAATTCCAGCTTTCCCTCATAGAATTTAAAGGTCTTCAACTAAAAATGTTTGGAAAACACTACAAGAAGGTCTTGAGATTTAGCGATTAACACATTTGTTACCTGTTTCATATAACCCTGTTTTTCAGCTACACGGCAAATTTTAAAAGTTGACCAAGTAGTCTCTATTCCCATTTCAAGCCTGTGGAATAGATGGGTGTAGCACCTTCTACAGTTCCCACAGGAGGATGATCTGGGAAATGAAGTGAGGTTTGTATGTTAGTCAACTTATTGTTTTGTGACAAATACCTGAGAAAAACAACGTGAAGGAGGAATGATTTATTATGGATCATAGTTTCAGTCTACAGTTGGTTGACTCCATCACTCTAGGTCTGAGAGGCAAAACATTATGGTGAAAGGGTATGATGGAGGAAAGCTTCTCAGCTCATAGCAGCCAGAAGTCAGGGGGAGACACAGGATGTCATAACCTTTAACTAGGGGACTGGGACAAGACAGTTCCCAACTGTATGCTCCTAGTGACCCACTTCTTTAACCATGCCCTACTTATAGTTTCTACCACCTCCTAATAGTTCATTCAGCTATCAGTGGATTAATCCACTGACAGGGTCAAAGCCCTCATGATCCAATCATTTCACAAAAGCCCCATCTCTGAACATGGCTGCATTTGGCAACCAGACCTTTAACACGAGTCTTTGGGGAACACTTCATATCCAAACCTTAATAGTCTGCCTCTGATTTTTCCTAAAACTTAGAATAAAGAAAAGGCACATTTTTTGTCTCCTATTTTTTAATCTTACGCATTTGAAGAAACCCTGAGACTATTCACATAACAAAGTCATGATTTAGACTTCTTCATTTAAGACAGTGGTTCACAACCAGGGAAGTTCTGGCTCCCAGGGAAAACCTGACAATGTCCACAGGCATTTTTGGTGGTCTTCACTGAGGGAGGAGGATGAGGTACTAACATCTACTGAGTAAAGTCTGGAAATGCTGCAAAACATCCTACCGTGCACAGGACAAACAGAAGAAATAATTATCCAGACTAATATGTTAATAATTCAGGATTGAGAAACCCGTACATGGGCCAAAATTACTAGAGGGATTTCTTGGGCAAATAAATTGTGGTAACAGGTTGCATCACCATGTCATTTTCCCAAAATGCTTTCTCAATTTTTTACAGCCCTGGGGATCAAACCCAGAGCCCCTTATTCACTCTACACAAGTGCTTTACCGCTGAGCTACATTCCCAGCCCATTTCTCTTGATATAATCTATACTGTGCCTGCACTGTCTCTCTCTAGATCTTTCTAGTATCTTGAGAATTATCCTGTGGTTGTTTCAGCTATCTAATCAAGTACAGCATCTATATGAACAGTTCCTTCTAAGCCTCACAAGTATCAGTAGTGGATAGAGAGCACTCTTTGGGATATATGCCTTAAAACTTACAGCTTAATATACAGAAGTTATATTCTCTTTCCCCAAATAGACTTAATTCAAACTTCCCAGAGTTTAATGAGGGATAAAAATATTAACCATCATGTAAGATAACTGACATTTCCTAAATGTCAGTTACTTATTTACCTGAAATAATTATATATTGAGTCCCCTGAAAAGGATAACCCTTCTGAAGGAAATGATGGCAAGATTATGAGTACTATCACATTTATTTACTTATACACTGACTTCTTTCAAAAATAATTTGAAGTGGCATTATACAAAAGTAAAAATATTTCTATACTCAAAAGTTTGGCTGCTCCTTTTTTCTTTTAATTTATCAAAGATTTCATTTAGAGCCACAACCTCTAACAGGTTAAACTTTCAGGTTTACTTCGATTACTATTTTCTATGTTACATGTTTTCAAGGGTTAGGCAGGATTAAAGTTTGTTTCATGAAAGTCAAAATCATACCACCTTTTCAAATAAATGGTCTTTTTCTAAGTTACAGTGCTTAAATCTGAGATACATCAGAAGAGGGTCACATAATGCCAAAGGCAGAGAATGCAATGATACAGCTGCAAGCCGAGAAATGTCAAGGGTCGCCAGCCACCACCAGAAGCTAGGAGAGGCAGGCAGGATCCTTTGCAGACTCACAGAGAGCCTGGCCTAGTCATCACCTTGATTTAGGACTTCTAGACTCCAGAGTTTATGATAATAATTTCTATTGTCTGAAATCACCTGGTTTGTGATGTTCTGTTATGGCATCTTAGGAAATTAGTATAGCTGTTAGTACATATTATTTGTCACAAAATACTCCAGCATAGTTATTGGTCATCCTTGTTTGTTATAGTGGGAAAGACATATAAATATACTCTCAAAGAGTAATTCATGATTTACCTCAATGTGTCTGATAGTTGAAAATCATTCCAAATTTAAATTTAACCATACAAAACCCAAAGTTAAGCAATATTTTCAGAAATAAGTCTTTCAATGTTTTATCATATTTGATAGCAGCTTTTTTTATTGGTTACAAAACCTAAGCCCATATACAAAATTAAGAACACGTTTAGATGCCTCTTTTGAAAGAACGTTTTAGTCTATTTTAACTGAGTTAAAAAAAAAATAAAAACAATGCAATTTTTAAACACTGTTTTGAAAACTTAAAAGTGCAGCAATATACTTAGTTTCCTTTATCTATGAAATGGTGCAATTCCAATTCAAAACTGGTAAGGTCACAACAAACTGAATCAAGCAAATGCACACATTTGTCTGCACTACTTGATGCTAATGTTCACTTAAATGTTAGTTTGCACTTAAAACACAAGAGGAAATAGGAATCATCATAGTAAAGGCCCAATTTTAATCTCAGTGTGTGCCAAATTTGAAAGGTAACTGTCAGTTAAGTATAAGAGTCTGGAAGAAACAAACTTGGAAGAGAGACAATTCACAATATCCAGACAATTTGTACTTTAAGGTTTTCACGAAGTGTGTGACCTTAATTTGATTTGATTTTGTTATTCCTATTTTTAGTGAACACCACACAGTTTGAAAAATTTAGACGATAGTGTCTGAACAGGATGCATTTACCATATGAAGCTTTAACTCAAAATTTGGATAAAGAAAAAAAGGCACAATGAACTTCAACTCAATTTTATGTGCACAAGAGTTGAAAAATCTGAGCCACCTTAAAGAGAAATTGATTCTAAAATTTATAAAACCTATAAATAATCAGAGGCCAAACCACTATATTAAAACAGATTCTCTAGCAAGTAAAAATCTTGCAGTTTAAACATACGCTTGTATCCACTTTAGATACAAGACAAAACTCACTCTTTAAAGTGGCTCCACCTTGGCAGATACATATATTTGTAATGAACGCACACCTGCTATGTATTGTTTATCAGTGAAAACACCCCAGTTGATTCACAAAGCTCTGATGGCATCTGTCTCATCTTCATCACAGTAAATACACCCCCCATAACTAAATGAGTTTAGATTTTCTATCCCTTCACATCAATGCATTGGGAAATTATGTCCAGTAAACAAGAGCAACAAAACCATTTCTGTGACAGCACAAATTATTTAGTTTAAAAATTTTCAAATCCATATTCGTTCATTAATAACTGGGTCAGACAATTTACCAAAAACAATAACTTTACATAGTAATACCAGATTTTGCAGAACTACTTAAAGATCACTGCAAATCAGGCTTATTATGTTAAATAACTGCAGATTATTCCTCTACACAGATCCCTGTTTGAATTTTTTTTAATAAGTGCAGATGCTTTTAGAGTAGGATCTGAGTGAACTTTCCCAATACTCCAAGAATGAAGTCTTATAACACTTCTAAATAGTTGCTGGTTTGTTGCCAACCACATTATCAAAAGCACTGGTTACTAAGTAAAAAATGTTTTAAGACTAAATTACAGTAAACATGAAAGCTCCACAGTTTAAACCCAATATAAATCAACCATATCCAATTATCAGATTAGAGCAAAAATATTAACTCCTGAAAGCTGAAAGCAAGATTTTATTTTTTTAAACATCACCAATGAATATTTTAGACCTTTGCAGTTTTGTTTTTTTCCTTTGTAGACAGGGACTCTTGCTTTCAACTTAAACAGAAGTTCAAGTCTGTAACAGGTTGCAGCTCAGGTAAAATACCATGCACAGCATTTGATTACTTCAAAACAGCAGGAACACACAGGCTGAAGTGAGTGGTCAAATAGGGCTTGCTGTTCTCAAAAATTAGGTATAATGGTGAAAGCATTACCATCCATATCTAAAGTTCTTCCTCCAACCCTGGCTTCTGAGGCAGATAATAAACACATCAATTACTGGTAGATGAAGTACAGTTTTTTAAAACTTATCTGTTTAATCAATAACCAAGTTTCTTGTTTTTAAGTTACTTTTTTTGTGTCAGTTCCACCAATGAAAATCATTTGGCTTGTACTTTAAAATCTATTCTTCCTCATAAAGAATATGAAAATATGTTTGTGGAGGACAATGACGGAGGCTCAGATCATACTGCACCTCTTCAGTCTTCCAACGTGAATATGCATCATACCAAAGTGTCTTGATCCACAGTGCACCATTTTCCAAAGGAATACCAACGGGCAGCTGACATGCCACCACTATGGAATATTTTAAACTGGAGACTGCAGTTGTCAGCATGTGGCACCAGGGACCGGGGAAAATAGGGTAGTTGAGATTGTTAAGAATTCTAAAACAGTTTAGGAAATCATGCATATGCATTTACAGTCCATGTGAGAGTGACTTTTGGCAACTGCAAAGTGACTGAGACATGGCTTGCTTTAGAAGCATCAAAACGAAGAGGCATGTGTTTTGGAGCCTTTTGTTGCTGTTGTTCTTATCATTTGGTAGCCATCTGGTGGTGCTTCATATTGAACATGAGAAAGATGCTGCACTCAATTGACCTTAAAAATTAAATTCTTTTGTTTGAAGGTTGGCTGTTGGGTCGAAATTGTAAGTACCTCCTTGTGTTGCTTCAGGAATGAGGCTAGGATCTTCGTCAATCTATAAAAAACCAAGGGGGGGAAAGGTCCTGATTATATGGTGATACTATACATTATGGTATAATTTGAATTAAATCTTTACCACTTAGGAGAAAATTCTGTATAAATCACCTAAAACATTTCAGCAAATCCATAATAATTTTATTGAGAAATTTAACAATTTTAAATTGGAAATGAGGGCTGGGGATATAGCTCAGTTGGTACAATGCTTGCCTTGCAAGCACAAGGCCCTGGGTTCAATCCCCAGTACCACACACTAAATAAATAAATAAATAGGAGATATTTTAAGAAACTAACCCTTTCTTAAATTTCTGTGTATTAAAAATATATCTAAAAATCTGAATATATGTTATTTCTATAATTACTACTTCTTAATCAGTTAATACTCCTCAAATGCAACAAGAGCTGCTTTTATAATATTACTTTCTGTTTGGTTTAACTTTTTGTTTTTTGATACTGGGAATCAATTTCAGGGCAGCTTTTTCCACTGAGTTATACCTCTAGTTCTTTATTTTATTTTTTATTTCGATATAGGGTTTCCATAAGTTGCTAAGGCTGGCCTTGAACTTGTGATCCTCCTGTCTTAGCAGCTCTAGTCACTGCGATTACAGGCATGCATCACTGCATCCTGCTACAATATTACCTTATAATTAAATTCTGGAGTAAAGTATTTAAGAACAAGTGATTGGTGGAGCACCTAATAGAAATACAGTATAAACTTAAGTCATATATTACATATAGGTTTTAATTTATACACAAACATATCATATTTTAATATATACTTACATCATCACCAGAGAAATATTGATCTATGATTTCAAATGCTAATTTATATATGTCTTCATTTTCATGTTGCTGCAAAACTTCAATTTTCTCCAAACCTGATAAAAAATATCAAAATAATTAAGGAGACACTAATGAAAACTGTGTACATAAATCCTAAGGATTTCAACACACCCTTTTCTTCACCCAAAGATGACATCTAAAAGATGAGCAGCATCCCACTGATTTCTTCCTTCTTAGAAGCCTTTGAGGCACCCTGTTTCCTCAAGTAGGCAGTCTAAAAAATTGCCTAAACACTCCATTTGATAGGTATGTGGCACAGGGATGTAAAAGGAATTTAATTCAGGTTACATGGCAAGTTAGTGACAGTACTAAATCTGTGATTTTTTTTCCAAGATTGTGAATAGGGTTCTTGTCTCCTACACCATAACAAACCTGTAGAAATAACAGTTCAAAACAGAATTCACAATGTCATCAGTTATAGTTCTAATACATTTATTTCATGCATTGAATGCATAAATTTATTAATCTAAAAAATTAATATTTTTCTTTGAAATGTCTTTTTGACTATGCTATGTTGAAACAGTTGCATTTTTAAAAAGCTAATAATATACATACCAGAAAAATGGAAAAACAGGTGTCAAAGATAATGGTTGCAGTACTTCATAAAATTATAATAAGTAAGCATTGTGTTCTATTTATAACTCCCATTCAGGGAAGTGAAGATATTGATATAAAACTGAATAGTAACAATTCTGCAAGTTGCTCAAACTTTCTGTTATGAACCTGATTACATTGCTAATTTTTAAATATTTTAAGTAAAACATCTAAAATCAATAATGAGCAGTAAGATCTCTATTCTTTCTCATTAAAATTTTAAAATAAAAATTTGTAGTAATAACTTCATCACACAGTTGTAGCAATCCTACCATTACAATTGGTAGGATTAAAACAAAATATACAGATGATTAAGAAATCATTAACCTTTTCCAAGAACATGAAATAATATTTCCCAAAGTGAGGTACACAGAATCACATGGTAATGTGTGTGACAGGGGAAAAAAAATTTCCCCCAAGAGTGAGTTGTTATGAGGTCTCCCTGTTTTGGATTGTCAGCTTCCAAAACTGTGAGCTAAATTAGACTTTTTTCTTTATACGTATCCAAACCTCAGGTTTTTTTGTTTAGCAATGGAAAATAAACTCATAAAAGTGCTCAACTACTTTTCTTCAATCAATCCACTCTTACCTCCACATTCTTCAATTATTTCAGCTATTGTGCTTGCTTCATCACCAGCCATTATCAGAATGTTTTTTAGACCATCTAGAACCACCTGAACCACTTGAGAATCTTTTACTGACAATAAATTACAGAATGGTGGTATTACATTCTGTTGTACAAGGTACTCAACCTAGATCACAAAATAAAATAAAGTACAGAGATTAAAAACAATCAGCAATCTAAATTTAAGAAACTAGTGTACTTTCCAATATTAACAATTGTGACAGTTAAAAAAAAAATTTAGACTCACTTGATCTTTTCTGCCACTTATTGTTAAGTTGCTAATTGCCCAAGCGGCTTCTTTTTGTGTTCCGAAGTCCCCCTAAAGGTTAAAAAAAATATAAATGAATGAATTCTTTACCCAAAAAATCTTGGTAATAACAGGTTAGGAAAGATGATGAACCCACAATGACTGACCTTGGCAAGCTGATGAATAATCATAGGGATTAATCCAGCATCTATTACAGCTTGAACTTGTTGCTGGTTGCCTGCCGTTATGTTGGAAAGGAACCATACAGCTTCCTAGAATTGAAAAAAATACTGTATCTTTAAAGCTTTTCATATTTTTATCTTAACATATTTTATATATATATATAATAACAAAATCACCTGCATTATTTTCAAGTGACTACATCTAAAAAGTGATCTGGTTATATATAATATATAAGACCTATTTAAAATAAATTAGGACACTTCCATCTATAAGCTAGAATTATTCTAGGCAATGGTGATACAACAGTGAACAAACAGATTAAAATCTTTATTCATGGAACTTACATTTTTGTGTATTTTTTACCTTTAACAGGCAGAAATAACTATAAGACTGAATTTTTCTTAATCAGTTGATTTTTAAGACCTTTATTTTATTTATCTTCATGTGGTGCTGAGGATCGAACCCAATACCACACAGATGCTAGGCAAGCACTCTACCATGAGCTAAAGCCTCAGCCCACAAGACTGAATTTCTGAATACTTTATTAAAACTACTTCTAATAAAAGTGAATTGTTGGGCATGGCGGGGCATACCTATAATCTTAGTGGCTTGGGAGGCTGAGACAGGAGAATCATAAGTTCAAAGTCAGCCTCAGCAATTTAGTGAGGCCCTAAGCAACTTAGCAGGGCCTCCCTTCACCCTCCCCAAAAGTAGATTGTTTTATTTCAAAAAGATGTACTCCAAGATATACTTGTTCAAGTATTCTACAGAAATCAAGCATCAAACTAGTCTAGGATGGATCTACAGACATTAAAAGATTTACGAGCCACAAACAGGCTTAGTATACTATTAATGTTAAAGGTATATACCTTCTTTTACTTCTAATGTTAATTTTGTTTTCCTTTTTCTTTCCTTTTTTCCCCGAACGCTGGTGATTCAACCCAGGGCCTCATACGTGCTAGGCAAGAATCCTATCACTAAGCCACACATTCCCAGCCCTCTCCTCAATGACTGAAAGAGTTAATTATAAATTTATTCTGCCATGTAACTGTGGGTAAGATGTTAATAACTGATGAACCTATGTTTAGAGTACATGGGGGCTTGCTATACTATTCTTGCAAATTTTTTTGTAGGTTTAAAAATTCTTTTAATTAAAATGCTACGGAGAAAAATCAAGTTGGAAAATTCTAACTTCAGGGTTTTCTGGTTCAAATAACAAATTCTCAAACTAAAAACCTTTTGAAGCAGCTGCTTGTTGAACCTGAGTATATATCTGTATGAACTTTTTCCCCATTGGTACCTTCACTTTAAGAGCATATTGTGGGGCTGGGACTCAGCAGTTGTGCAATTGCCTGGCATGTCTCATGAGGCACTGGATTTGATTCTCAGCACCATGTATAAATAAATAAAATAAAGGTCTATCAACAACTAAATATATATATATATATATAAAGTGGGGGCGGGGAGGGGTCGCATCGCATCCTAGGCCAGAACCACTGTCACCTCTGTCTGGCTATTTCATTTCTTGGTCATTTCCAATTACAGAATACACTAAGTTATAAAACCCACCTATGTGGTTTAAATTTCCTCAGTAAAAATAACTCGCCCAAAACTTCTGGCTTCTTTCTCTTCACTATAACAAATATATCTATAAAATGTAACTTTTTTGGGGGGATACCGGGTATTGAATTCAGAGGCACTCGACCATTGAGCCACATCCCTATTTTGTATTTTATTAGAGGCAGGGTCTCACTGAATTGCTTAGCACGTTGCCATTGATGAGGCTGGCTTTGAACTCATGATTGTCCTATCTCAGCCTCCCAAGCCGCTGGGATTATAGGCGTGCACCTGCGTACCCAGCTCCAAAGCTTAAAATCTTAAAAAAAAAAAAAGACATTTTTAAAAATGATCTTTGAATTTAAGCATTCCATCTTAGGACACATTCTAATTTTGTTAGTGAATAAATTATGATCTGTTTGTTTAAAAAATGTAATAGTTATTTTGGTGGGGGATTTTTGCCTATACTTATACCTAGTGGCTACAATTTAATAATTATTGCTACTGTTCAATCTGTAAAAACACCAAGCAGTCTAAAAATGTTGTTTTTTTCTTCTGTAATGACCAGGGCAGTACTCACAGGAAGCAACTAAAAGCTAAAATAAAACAATTATAGAGTGGGTTTAAACAATTTTCTACTGTAGTGGTTTTTGAAGAAAAATACAAACGTCTAGAAATAGAAACTAGGGAGGAGGTGGTTAAAAATGAAAGATACAAAGAGAAAGAAAAACTGTGAGGACACTCCATGCCTTACCTTATTTATCTTCTCTTTTGGATGTGATAAGAGATTTGGGAAGTGTGACAGGACATCACAATTGAGAACAACCTGGGTCTGCTCATCAGTGCCTGTCACTATGTTGCCAACTGCTCTGAGAGCTGCAGTCTGGAGAGGGGATAAAATGTTTTCCATGAGTTTATTTCTTTATAATGAAACCAATGATATATTTTTCAAAACCCTGAGAAAATGTAAACATGTAAAGAACAAATGATTTAACATTTTTTCATCCTTATACAAAGCAATAAGTAGACTGAATAATTCTGAAATTTAAACAATAGTCTCTTGTGGAAAAAAAAGCAACTTTATGGTAAAATTATGTAAAAAAATGATTCAAAAATAAAAGGAAATTAAAACAAAAATCATAAAGTACTATTTTTTAAAAAATATTTTTTAGTTGTTAATGGACCTTTATTTATTTATATGTGGTACTAAGAATCAAACCCAGTGCCTCAAACCACTGAACCACAACCCCAGACCCATAAAGTAATATTTTTTTAAAAGTTATTTTTATCCATTAGTTAACTGGCACCACAGAAATATTCTAATGTAGGACTGAAACAGGCACACAATTCCATCTAGAAATTCATACTGGTGGAGTTGTGATAATTGAAAAACTATTTACAGACTGAACAGTAGCAACAATTATTAAATTGTAGCCACTAGGTGCAAGTATAGGCAAAAATCCCCCACTCAAATAACTATTACCTTTTTTAAACAAACAGATCATAATTTAATCACTAACAGCCACCTATCCACCTCTAATCAGAGGTGGAGAGAAAGAGGCTGTGTAGTTAGGAGGCTATTATAATTATATGGGAGAAAGAAAATAAGTTTTAAACTAAATCAGTGGTTCCAGATAGATAAGGAGAGACAGATGAGAAAACTATATAAGAATTGAAAAGGATTTGTTAACACAATGGGAAATGAGAAGAAGAATTATAGAATTTTAATTAGACCATGCTGTACGCTGACAGGGATACTGGAAGATGAGAAAGTTTGTGGGAGAAGATGATCCATTTCATTTTTGGTTGAAATAACAATGAAAAGATTGAAGGAGTTCTTAAGGATATGTCTAAGGGGTCAAGAACAACTGGCTAGGGGCTGGGGATGTGGCTCAAGTGGTAGCGCGCTCGCCTGGCATGCATGCGGCCCGGGTTCGATCCTCAGTACCACAAACAAACAAAGATGTTGTGTCCGCTGAGAGCTGAAAAATAAATATTTAAAAAAAAAAAAAAGAACAATTGGCTATATGGTTCTGAAACTCAGTAAAGAATCTGCGTGTGAGGAAGAGTTGGAAATCAACAAAATTTGGCTTAGGAGATACTACAGGAGCAATCTTGAGGATAAGTGCTAACAGACATAATTGAAGGCTAGTTGTATAAGCTAATTGGATAGAGCAAACAGAATTCTATGTAAGAAAAAAATCTGAAATACTTACTTGAACTTTCACTTCCTGGTGGCTCAGAAGGGGCACAAGAAATGGCACAACTCCCGAATCAATCACCATCTGTATCTGTTCATTACCTCCATCTGTCAAGTATGACAGAGCCCAAACAGTATCTACAAGAATCTACAGGAAGTGAAAAGAATAACCCATTGGCATATTTGTTTGATTGCTAAAATACATATCTCAGAGTGATGACAGAAAAAGTAGACAGTTGCTTAGTGAATAATTTGTTAAATGGTAGGTATCTTACCTTTCTCTCGATGCCTATCTCAGATAACTCTTCACAAATATAAGACACAGAAGTCTGGGACAACCTCTACCCCAACTTGTGATTAATGTATCAGATAGATAAGATAAATTTAACAACAGGCAGAAAATAATTTCCCCTGATCCCTCCCCAAAATTAAGTACCTAAAAATTACATGAAAACACCTCAGATACAGTAGTAGTATGAGGCCAGTATATCATGCTGCTTCAAGTCTAGAAAACACCAAAAAGATCAACTATCCACCCTCCCGATTTTCAAACACGTTTGGCAATGTAACTTTTCGAACTACTGGAGTAACAAAGAAAAGACTTGGCACTTTAACTTCATTTGGGAAAAAAGCTGTTTGCAAAGCTCTTGAAACACGTCCTCAACTGAAAAGCATGGGGTATAAATTATGACCTCACCCATCCTAATCTGAACATAAAAGAAAATAAAAACTGCAACAGAGACATGGTAACACATTCAAGGTCAAAGAGCTTGTATGGTTCTCCTTGGAGTATGCAACAGAGGGATACAGTTCTTATCCCATGTGAAATCCAGAGATATTTCCTATTAGGATACCCAAACAAAAGGTATCTTGCTGTCCTAAAGTAATAGTAGCTACACAAATTCACATATCCTTCAGAAAAACACAGATCTGAATAAGAAGGAACAAATGAAACTATATTTAGTCCACATGCCCAGCATTACTAGGAGTCCAAAAATATTAATAACTTCAAATTACCTGCAAGAAGAGAAAAAATTAAATTCTAGCTTTTGTCTGGACTGCCTATCCCAAACCTGTGTGAGACTTCAGAAGAGAATCTACTTCAACGGGACAGTGACCATATGGCCTGCAAAGCCTAAAATATTTAACTCTCTGAACCTTTACAGAAGAATATGTTAAACCCTTTTCTATAACATATGCTTCATTCACCTAACAAATGACTTGGAAAACTTAAAAAAAAAAAAAAAAAAGACCCACAAAAACTAATAATAAGCATTTACTATATCTCATTGTATATCAAGAACTAACACAAATGTGAGGATAACAGTGAAAGAATAATTTGTAAATGTTCTATGTTCTGAGAAAATAGAAATATTCTAACTTCAAAAAAGGATGGAAGAAGCTGTACTTGAGAACTGAACCCATCTTTCACAGTGAGTCCACCTTGCTGTAAGTATCTGTAGATGCTGTGTGTGTCAACAAAGTTTGGCTACTATCTAATGTAGCAGTGACAACATTTATAGAAACCACCCAGCAACTCAGGAGCTGAGGCAGAAGGATCCCACGTTCAAGGCTAGCCTAGACCACTTAGTGAAACCCTCTAAAAATAAAAAATAAAAATGGCTGGGGATATAGCTCAAACATCTCTAGGTTCAATCCTCAGTAGCTGGGTGGGGAAGGGAGTGATACCCAAAATGTGCAGGGAACAACTAAAAAAATAACTTGTCATGCCAGGAACCAGAAAAATCTCAACACAAAAGATAAAAAAGACAGTCAATGGATGCCAACACTGAGATAGATTTGATAAGGATTTTTAAAGTAACATAAAAATGTTTCAGTGAGCAATTATGAACATGTTTGAAACAAAAAACAAAGTCTCGAGAAAGAAAAAGAAGACATGACAGGAAAAACCACAATGAACTCAAAGTTAGGTCAACAGAAATTATTCACTTTGAATAACAGAACAACAACAATAACAACAACAACAAAAAAACATATAAAAAAATGAGCAGAGCCCATAGGACTTGTAGCACAATAATGACAGAACTAACATTTTTGTCATCTCAGTTCCTGAAGAAACAGCTTGAAAAAACATGATGAAATAATGGGGGAAAATGTATCAAATTTGGCAAAAGACATATGATTACACATTCAAAAATGTAAGGATGAGGTGAGAGAAGAATAAGTTTATTTATTATTGCACAGGTAACAGAAAGGAGTAAAAAAAAAAATCAATTAAAACTGTCAAAACAGGGGCTGGGGTTGTGGCTCAGTGGTCGCGTAGGCAAAATAGAACTAAAATCTCACAGAAAAGCAGATCATAAATATGAAGTCTCTTTGCAAAAATACAAATAAAAATGTCCCTTAAACAAACAAAATGCTTAACATCACCCATAACAAATGAAAAGTAAATTAAAACTGAGATAGTTTCTTACCTATCAGATAAACAAAAATTTCAAATGTGACAACACACTCTATAGCACAGCAATGGAGAAAGTCACTTTTGAATGAAACTGGTGGGGAAGCAAAATGGCATAACCCCTAAAAATCAGGTAATTTGGCAATATGTGACAAAAATTACAAATGCATTCACTCTGATCCAACAATCCTGCTTTTAAAAATTTACCATGACAATACACCCCTAATAATATAAAAATGCACAATACTAAAATTCTGAAAAAACTATGTCTGTAAAACAGAATCCTGTGCAGAATGATAGTCTACTCTGCTCTGTGATGTTTAAGAGACTCCTAAATGAAATGTAACTTTGTTTCATTACATGACTCTGACTATTAGCAGAAAACCATTTTTTCCCCCTAAGTAATACACAGAGGCTTAGATAATGAGGATTCTAGACGGAGATTAATGAATGGTTTTTAGTGGGGTCTCCATGACACCATCTCAAAGGCTGAAGGGTGAAGGTAAGCTAGAGCTAGGTCTTAGACCTCTGAAACTACGCACTCGTGTAGTCTCCCTTCAGTTTTGCTTTTTGAAATATATCAGGTCTTCATTATTTAAAGAAACTTATTGGGCCTTCATTACTTAAAGAAACCTTAAAAATTTTTAAATTCACAGCATAAGATTATTAGATGATTCTAGTTTCTTCTGTTTCCTTCAATTTGTTTCCTTATCTCTATTATTAGACTAACAGCTAACCAATGTCTTTGATGTTCTTAATTTTGCTTGTTGGTGTCTTTTTCCATTTGAGCTACTTCTGCTATTTCATACTTTATCCTTCTACTATTCATTTTTCTTGGTTTTTCTTTCTTGAATTCTATGCCAAACTATCTGGCCTTCTATGATCACTAATAATCAATGAAAGTACTTATTTCCTGCTAGTTAATAAACTAATTAGTCATACACCAACAAAGCCTCTGGCAGTCTGGGCTACTTTATTTTTTCACCATTTATGTCTGCTTTTTGCTGCTAAAAACCTTTACAACTTTATCTCACCTGTAATTTCAGATGCTTGAAGACTGCTAGAAAGCAGATAACTCAGGATAGATACACCCACATACCAAGATTAAAATCCCTACAGGGTCAATTTTTTTAATTTAACATATTTCTTGAAAACTTGTATAATGTGAGCCACAGAGAAATCTCTAGCAGTCTTACAATAAGGATATGCTCAGCTAAAAGAACTTCATGGATTTTTGCTACCTTCAGTGCAGTAATATGCTAACAAATCATGTCCTGTTAAGCACCATTACTGAAAACTATTACTATATATAGCATTTCCTAGAAAATTAGATGTCTCTGGAATGTTAACTTCACACAGGCTTCAGAGACAACTAGAGTTGAATCAAAATGCAATTAATTATATACTTACATTAAGTCCTTATATTCATTAAAGAATAACTCAGTAGACTTTGGGTGCGCAATTTCTGCACATTCCAAAGAAAGGACTGGCCCCTGATCAGCTCCTATGAGATAGTCTGAGTCTGATAACGATCTCTTTGGTAGATCTGACACTTTGGGCTGTGCCAGATAGTTTATGCTAACAATTTAATTACAGAAAACACCTCTTTTTGATTCCTTCAGGCCTCAGTCCATGCTATATCAATCTGACCTCTGGGAAGGGCTGAGTAAGGTCAGTCACACAGGCAGTACATGCAATGTGGCTGACCCCCCAACAAAACCCCTGGACACCAAGGTCCAGGAACTCCCTTGGATAGCAACAATTCATAAATGTTACTGGGAGACCTAAGTGTTGTCTTAACTTAATATGACTCTATTGGGAGAGGACAATTAGAAGCTTGCACCTGCATTTTCCTCAACCCTCATCCTATCTTCCTTTTGGCTTTGCTGATTTTAATCTCCTTTTGCTGTAATAAACTACTGTACAAGTATAACAGCTTTTCTATATTCTACAAGCCCTTTTAGTGAATCATAAAACCTGAAGGTGGTCATAAGGATCCCCAATATACTTTTACCAATAATCTAGTCTCAGCACATAACCAATCTGCTACAACTGACTAATTTCATTGGTACCAGCAGTAAAATAAACTAGAATTGATTTAGATGTTAGTGACACTGAAAATTGTCTAGGTCTCTCAAATCATGAATGAATGATTTCAAAAAGGGAAAGGAAACAAGATGCTCTAGATTTACTAGGACTGCAAATTAACCTAAGCAACTCAACAGATAGAAAGCAAACAAACACAAACAGACCTGAATCATTCAGATTTCTCTCTAGTTCTCAGGGTCATTACTTAGTTTTGCTTCTAAGTGTTACATACGCATATTAAAGTCCAAAACCCACTGAATCATCTCACACCCCAACCCAACCTTTTCTCAGCATTCTCAGTAATCATCATTTAATAAATTCTTAATTTACCTTGCTGCTGTTTGTGTACTCTGTTGCATCCTACCCAAAAATTCAAGTTAGGAAAAGCTGGCTAGCATCCCTGACTCATCTTACCATCCATATCGAATCCAGCAAATTTATCATCTAAGTATTTATCAAGTCTCCCCTGGCCTTCTTAATTCTAATGCTTCAACTTCAACTGCTGGCCCTTGATTTTTCTCTCATTCCTACTACAAAATCACCATTGACATGCCTTTTCAACTCCAATCATCCCTAAAATCTACATTCCCCTTAGGTAGTATGAGCTATCAATCCAAAATATAATTTGACCATTTATTCTTCAGTCCCCCATCAGCTACACAAAAAGAATATGAGATTCTTAATGTGATATCCAACATCCTATATGATCTAGAACCTGATAAATCTCTGCCTTATTTTTTCTGTTTCATAATTTACATTTCTACCACACTACTTCAATGAATTGCTTTGCAGATTCTTCTTCCACTGCCCAAATACAAGGAATTTCTTAAAGTTCAAATTTTAGTTCTCCTTCACACAATCTCAGTCTATGCCTGTATCTTCATCAATTCTTTTTAAAAAATTTTTTAGTTGTAGGGGCTGGGGATGTGGCTCAAGTGGTAGCGCGCTCGCCTGGCATGCGTGCGGCCCGGGTTCGATCCTCAGCACCACATACAAAAAAAGATGTTGTGTCCCCCCAAAAATTAAATAAATAAATATTAAAAAAAAAAAAAAAATTTTTTTTTAGTTGTAGATGGACACAATATCTTTATTTGATTTATTTACTATTATGTGGTGCTGAGGATCAAACCCAATGCCTCATGTGTGCGAGGCAAGTCCTCTATCACTGAGCTACAACCCTAGCCCCTCTTCAGGTCTTTATATACAGATAAATCCTAAATCCATACTGTATTCTCCTTCTTGGAAATATTGCTACAGAGGAACAACAAATTCCCCCAAATTCTACTTATTTTAGGTCCCAACACTCAAAAATCTCCCCCCTTAATTATTCCTATTACTACTTGTTCTAGTTCATCCCTCTATCATATTCTTTATAAACTGATTATGACAGCAAAATGGGTCTGCCCACACTCAAATTTTCCCTATTCTAAAATCTTCATACCTTTTTGTTGTTGTTTGGTGGCTGTTTTTATTTTCTTGGGGTATTGGGGATTGAACATAGGGGTGCTTTACTACTGAACTACACCTCCAGCCCTTTTCATTTATTGTGATACAAGGATTCACTGAGTTGCCTAGGCTGGCCTTGAACTTGTGATCCTCCTGCCTCAGACTCTGAGTTGCTGTGCCACTTCCTTCTCTTTATAATGCTCCTCTCAAATGTCACTTCCTGGTGAAGTTTTCTGGTTTGCTAGACAAAATTGTCTGTGCTTTCATAATAATCTACCACTTTGATCATTCTTTTTTCATACCATTTAATGGTACTGAAGAGCACAGCTTTTGAACTGGCTTCAATTCTCAGCTACAGCTCTTATTCATTGTATGTTGTTAGTGCTTCATAAAGTTTTACCACTTTACAAATACTTTCAGTAACAGTATAGTAGCCCCCCTTTTATCTGTGGTACATGCCACTACACCCTGTTTGACACTTAAAACCCCTACCCAGATCCATCAAGAGCAAATTCCACATCTCAGCTTGTGCTTTACTTACATTTATATCCGTATGGTATATGAGGACACACAAAGCTGGCAAAATCTAAGGAAAAAAAAGACAGACAACAAGTTCATGGATATATACTTGTAAACATAAATAAATATGACACAAAAAGCAGTAAATACTGTTTGCAGGGCAAGAAAGACAATGTTAAATTTGTTTAAGTATCTATTAGGAAAATGAAAATCTGATAAACCAAAAGCATATTTCAAATGTCCAATTAAAACATTCAAATAAATCTTGGAAAGATTAATGTACCTTAAAGGAAAAACATTGGTTTTTAATAACTTTCTTTATGATATTAATGATAAAATGTCAGCTAGGTGCAGTGAGGCACACCTGTAATCCCAGTGACTCAGGAGGCTGAGGCAGGAGGATTGCAAGTTCAAAGCCAGCCTTAGCAGCTTAGTGAGATACTATCTCTAAATAAAAAATTAAAACAGGATAGGGATGTGACTCAGTGGTTAAACACACCTGGGTTCAATCCCTGGTACAAAAAAAGAAGTCTAGTGAAAAGAATGAAGATGCGAATATAGTTAATACTATTTAAGAAAGGTTATTCTTAAAACTGTCGTTGTCTCACTTACCTTATTAAAGTTTATAAAAATAAGATTTTTATTTATAAGCTATTTGAGTGAAATTAAAGCTTTTGACTTCTGCCTTAGTCAAGAAAATAACAACCAGTACAAAATATAAAGCGTTGTTTTATGGATTTAATCCTTACAGATTTTTAAGATCTGGGAAAGATTTTAGAATCCTTCCCAAGGAACTGTATAATAACAAAAGGTAGCAGATACTGGCTAAAGATGCAAATTATAAAGAGAGACAGTTAACTGTTCTCTACCCAGTCAAGGGAATAAAGAGTTCATAGGATTTTCAAAAATACTCAGATATCAATATACATTATTAGCTGTAAATAGCAAGGTTTTTATTTTGTTTTAATTAGATTTACCACTGATTTTGTCAGAAATCAATTAGACTTAATATGAGTTCATTCAAGAATATTTGCATGTAAGTATACTAGTTTTATCTGTAGCAACCCCTTTTTAAATTGGTAAACAATAATGCAATGCACTAATAAAACTTAAGATTTTCTCCCTCCTTTCATATTTTTCTATTTGAAATGTTTGTGTTTTTATGAAAAGTCATTAGAAAATAAGCTTTAGATGGGCTGACATTCTTTCAGATATATTAAACACTCAATTTTTATTTCACAGGAGAAATTAAATATGGTATGTTACTTAAAATCTCATACCTGCAATGAAATCAGTATATGCATTATTTCATTCCCCTGTGCATGAACACCTAAAGCAAAAACATAGGGAAAAATATACCATTTGTCCTTTACAATTCTTCATTTACCTCCTGAACTGTCTCCATAGGCGGTGGGGGGTCCTTATTCCTGCAGAGATTGACAATGACCCATGTGACGTTCCGAAGGAAGGTGATGGGAATGGAGGGATTGATGAAGGACAGAAGAGGTTTGACAACTCCCAGTGATATGACATAATCTCTACATTGAGGACCATCACCTACAGAAATGAAAATTGTATTTAAAAAAAAAAATTACATTCAGGATGAGAAAGTTTGAAATGTATGCAATGGCTTATGTTGGGACACTGATGTTCTATGTTTCCTCACCATTAGTCAAAGGCATCAAGCGTTGTTGTTTCTTCAGATTTTGATTTGAGGAACACAAATTTATCCTAGCACTGCTGATAAAAATTATATATCCTTTTGAAAGAGGTACCATCTTAAGTTAGTATTTATGAGGGTGGAATATAGTCAACCCACATTAAATCAGAGGAAACATAGTGTGTAATGGCTATGCCAATGTAGAAAAAAGTTAATTAAGATTCTTAATTGGGAGTCTTTTCAAACCTAAATGCAACTTACCTATAATGTTTCCCAAAGCCCACACTGCTTGTTCACAAACATTCTGATGTGGTGAATGAAGAAGTCTCAGAAAAAGAGGTACTGCATCTATAACAAAAAAATAAAACAAAACAAAACAAAACAGAACAAAACCCTAATACTTATACTGACAAAACGTTGAGTTTATAATTTCAATCTAAATAAGCTGATAAAATACACAGAGCCTAGCACACTGTAGTTGCCTGATTAGAGTTCCCGGGATAAATATATGCGGCTCAGGTATCTTTAAAACTAATTTCAGTATTTTCCCCAGTAATATTTGAGTAACACACCAATTAACAGTAGCTAAACAATGTTATTATATAGTTAACTAAAATAAAACAGCAGCATGAAATCTTTCTTATAATTTATTAAAAAAAAATAAAAAGATGCTAGGCATGCCTGTGATCCCAGCTACCACAGAGGATGAGGCAGGAGGATTGGGGTTTGAGAAAGCCTGGGGCACTTGCCTAACGTGTACAAGGGCCTGGGTTCAATCACCTGTACCACATGCATGCATGCGCGCGCGCGCGCGCGCACACACACACACACACACACGAGTTCCTACTCCAATCATATTAACTTAATTAACCTTTTTTTTTTTTGGTATTGGGGATTGAACCCAGGGGCACGTACCACTCAGCTGCAACCCCAGCCTTTTTTTTGGTCCATTGTTGAGGGACCTTTATTTCACTCACTCATTTATATGCGAGGCTGAGAATCGAACCCAGTGCCTCACACATGTGAGGCAAGCACTCTACCACTGAGCCATGATCCCAGACCCCCAGCATTTTTTATTTTTTGTTTTGAGACAGGGTCTTGGCTAAGTTGCTCAGGGCCTTGCTCATTTACTGAGGCTGACTTTGAACTTGTGATCCTTTCAAGCAGCAGGGATTAAAGGCAAGCACCAGTGTAACTGGCCTAACTATAAAATATAATACTTTAGCCAATATAATCTTAATTCTTATTACAGGACTAACTAAAGAATTGATTAATTTCATATCAGATATATCTTATATTTCAAAATAATTTATTATTATAATTTCCACTTTTTATATAACTTATACCTTATACCCATTTCTAGGATAAGTTAGATCATTTTTCATAAATTTCAGTCCTGTACTCTCTCTGGAGTATTTCTGTTATAGCTGTTTCTGAATAGATTTGCCTATTCTGGCCATTTCAAATAAATGAAATCATATAGCATGTGTTTTGTTTTTTATGTCTGGGTTCTTTCATTTAGCATAATGCTTTTGAGGTTTAACTGTGATGTAGCAGGTATCAGTACTTTATTCTTTTTAATTGCTGAATAATATTCCATTGCACATACCTTTTGTTTATCCACCCATCTGTTAATGAACATCTGGATTGTTTATCAAGAAAGCTGTTGTGAATGTGTGTACAAGTCTTTATATGAACATATTTCACCTTAGTTTCACCCTAGGAGTGGAACTGCTGGATCATATGATAACATTATATTTAACCTTTTGAGAAAATATTTTTCAAAGCACCTATACCATTTTACATTACCACTAGTAACAGAGTTTCAACTGAGTGATATTTTTAATTCAACTAATTTCATTTAGAAATTAGTCATAGAAGACTAGTATCATTATTACAAAATGAAAATAATCAATAAATTAACAATGAAAATAAAACACAATTGTTAAATTCTACTCCCTTTTTAGTAACCACAGTTAAAATTATTTAATGATAGAGTAATGATAGTTATGGGAGAGATATCAATCTTATAATTCTTTTAAACTTATAGAATTAATCAATTGTAAATGTTAAAAGTGAAATTTCATCTGTACTACAAAACCTATTTTACTGTCATCACTAAAAACAAGTTCAGAGGAAAAGGAGTTTAATTGACTTACTAGACTGTACAACAGCTTGAGTCTGTGCAGAAGTTCCTGATGCTATATTAGTTAGTGCCCAAGCAGCTTCAAACTGTAATGAAGGACTGCAAGAAATAATAATAAAAAAAAATCCACTTATACACATAACTACCACCTAAATTTATGAATCTTAGACCTCTATGGCTCTCTTACCTTATTTTTTAATTTAACATTTTATAACCAATGGCCGGCTGCATATCTCTGACTGAATATCTCACTATCTTCCAAACCAATCACTATAAACTTGTGTTTTTATATCATTGGTAGTTGGCAACATTTAGGCAGTCATCATGTCCCTTGACTCCTTCCGTCTCACAGACAACACATCTAATCAGAGTCATGACAATTTTATCTCTTGAATATTTCTTGCATTTATAGAATTACCCTTAATATCACTGTGTTAGATGAGGCCTTCATTATCTCACTTGGATCACTGCCAGCTTCTAGACTTGTCTTAAAGCTGGAACCCCATCTGATTCCACATACTCTCTGTGTGACATACTGGAGATATTACAGGGCTGCATAATTTTGCTAAAAAAGACAAGATCATTATAATTTGGAATTGTCATGGAAGACTTCACAAAAAAAGTGAAAACTGATTTAACTTTCAAAGATGGATTTTAAAAGGCAGGCACTGAAAGCTAGGGGAAAAAAAGATATCAGTTGGGATGATCATGTATATAGATGACAGTAAATAGATCAAGAGAGGTGAGGCCAAGAAGATATACAAAACTTTTAACAATGTATATGGGTGTGTGTGTGTGTGTGTGTGGGTGTGTGTGTGTGTACACCAGGGTGGGAGTAGGCATTGGAAGGATGTTTCAAATCCTAAGCTTCAGAATTTATAGTTTGTTCTATAGGCACACTATGTATAGGGTGCTACTGAAAAGGGGAGTAAAGAAAATAATGTTAGTCAATGGCGTGCAGAATGGATAAAAAAGGTTAAAGGATAATGTAGGAGAGACCTGTTAAAAGACATGTACAAAAGAACCTATAAAAGGAGTCTAAACCTATAATCCCAGCAGCTCCACAGGCTTTGGACAGGAGAATCACTAGTTCAAAGCCAGCCTCAGCAACTGCAAGGCACTAGGCAACTCACTGAGACCCTGTCTCTAAATAAAATACAAAATAGGGCTGGGGGTGTGGCTCAATGGTTGAGTACCCTGAGTTCAACCCACAGTACCAAAAAAAACAAAAGAAGGTAACTGTGTAAACATTGAAGAAGAAAGCGAGATTGTTAGTTATCAAAAAGTTAAAAAGCACAAAGAAAAGGTTTTAAGGAAAATAAATATCAGAGATATAATAATAAAGATGGAAATATACTTTTTTTTTTGGAGAATTTTAATATTTTTTTTTTTTAAGTTTTTGGCAGACACAACATCTTTGTTTGTATGTGGGGCTGAGGATCGAACCCGGGCCGCACGCATGCCAGGCGAGCACACTACCACTTGAGCCACATCCCCAGCCCTGGAAATATACTTTACAGTTAAAAAAAGATGGAGCAGATGAGAAAATGGAATAGTAGGTAAGATTTACATGATAAATTCTGGGAAAAGGTAGGGAATAAGAAAGTATCTGAGGCAGAGGAGAAATGGACAGTAAGATCAGAGATGATAATGTATGTTGTCCCAGATTAGAAGAAGAAAAGATTATTAAGCTGGTCAGGTGGAATACTGGAAATGGGGGACATAAATGAGAAAATATAAAGATATAAATAAATTGAATTACAAAGCCAGGATAATCTTCCAATACATCATGTGAAAAATAAATTATAGAAAAATGAGTACATGAGTAAACGAGTGAACAATTATTTTAAGATTGAGACTTTATAAAATGTTTGGTATATATTATAATTTCCATTTTCTACAACCACCTCGTTTTTACAGGAGAGGTATGTGAGGCTCAAAAACCACTTGGGTTTTGGATAACAGTCAAATCCTGGATTTAAACCAGGATCTATGGTTTTTTACAGTATAAAACAATTTCCTATAAGATATCCCTAAAGTCATATGTAAGCCACCAGCAATTTTTTATTCTTGCTTTGGGTGGTTGTTACACAGGTCTGTGTTATAATTATTCATTAAACTGAATATGTTTTATCATACTTTTCTTGTGTGTATGCTGTTTCACAGATATATCCAAAGGAGTCTACGCTAGAGGACAAAAAGAATGAGCAAAAGAAGAAAGAAAAGAGGACCAAGAATAAAAATGAGGACTAACATGGGGGTAGGAAAGATGGTGGAAGGAGATGGACATCTTTACCCTAAGTACATGTATGAAGACAGGAATGGTGTGACTCTACTTTGTATACAACAAGAGACATGAAAAATTGTGCTCTATATGTGTAAAATGAATTGAAATGCATTCTGTTACATATAACAAATTAGAATAAATATTTTTTTTAAAAAATGAGCCCAAGTCAGTGCAGTGGCACACATCTATAATTCTAGTGACTTGAGAGGCTGAGGTATGAGAACTGAAATTTTAAGACCAGTCCGGACAACTGAACGAGATTGGGTCTCAAAATAAAAAACAAAAAGGGCAGGGATGTGGCTTAGTGGTAGGGCACCCCTGGGTTCAATTCTCAGAACCTCTACACCCCCACACTCACACACAAAGGGAGTTGGGGGCAGGAGGCTCCAAAGGTAGAGGTAGAATAACATTTATTTAAAAAATAACTGATTAAAAAAAACCCTTACCTTTACTTAAATAAATCTTGTTTCAAAAAATACTCAGAGATGACAATACAGAAAGTCTCAAGGGTTTAGGGGTGTGGGATGGGAAGAGTTGTGCAACATTATGAAAGCAGAAGGCACTTTTAAATACTAAAAACCCTTAGTGGCAACATTTACATGCCACTATTTTTATCTGTCAACTGAAAATTCCTTGGACAGCCTTTAGCATAATATCCCAAATTTTAGTCTAAATGCTTTTAAATGCCAAAATAGCATTTATTTTAAAGCATTTAAGTTAAGACTTATATTCTCCCCAGTTTATTCAAACTGATGAAACTTAAGATATAGTCTGAGATACCAAACAGTATTTTTTTTTTTCTTCTCTTCTGAACAACTACAACTCACCACCTGACTCCTAATGTACTACAAACAAAAAGCATGATGTTGGACAACTAATCATGGCTGAAGCTCTATTAAAGACTACACAGAGGATCAGGGATCAGTTGGAATAGTCCCAGGGTATAAAAGAGCCACTCAGTTCTGGAAACCATTCATGTTGACTAGTCATGAGGTTAATCTATATATAGACTCATAAGCAAAGGGTGACTCAAATACTATTTGGGTTGTTTTAAAATATTACTAATAAAAAACCATAACAAAAAAGACTTTACAGTCTTCAAGATAGATTTAAAGTAAGCAAATACCCAGGAACTAAATATTTTCTATAAAATCTAGATTTTATAGAAAATATATATTACAGAAAAGTACTTTTGGTCTGCTGAATATGATGAAATATAGAAAACTACTATAAAAAGGCATGACAATTAAAAACATAACAAATGCAAAACCAAACTGAACTGTTTGGTTAGATAACAATCCAAAAATCTTAAGTTAACTGGAAAAAAGCAAATAGGGAATTGAATCCATACTTACTTATCATCCCTTTCTAGACATTTAACTAAAATTGGTAAAATCCCAGATTTTATGAGGTCATCAATTGGTGGGTTTCTGTCACTGGATAATAGTTTTCTATAAAAAGAAATACAAGAAATTAAATGTTATAATTTTCAAACTATGAGCAGCAATAATAATGTACTCCTCCTAGTCTATCAGCTAAGACACTAGAACTATAACTCTTTCTCTGGATAAATTAATGTTTACCTTGCTGCCTGGACAGCACTCAACTGGACCACTGGATTATCACTTGTGGCATTCTGTAAAACCAAATGTCAATTTCAGAAATTTGAAAAGAATCTATTTTAAAACACTCCAAATTGATAATATTAAATTAATAATATACCTGCAATATAGCTTCTAGTGTTACATTTTGCTGAAAAAGAAAAAAAAAAGATAGTTCAGGATATTTCATTAGCAAAACTACATTCATTAAATAGCTATCTGTTAAAGTTAGAATTAACATGCCATGTCATTATAAAATTGGTCTTGTGTTAAAAATAAAGTTCTCCGGGTTACTATAAAAATTATTTTAAATACACTTTATAAGAACAAGGTAACTTACTGCTTTAAAATCAGCATCAACATCTGAATCTTCTAAACTTTCTTCTTGGGGAACATTTCTCTTTTTCAATAAGTGTTCATCTCTTTTGTTCTGGAAGGTAACCGATAAAGGCTTAAGAACTCATGAGGGCTATTGTTAATGAAAATAGTCATTAAAATTATTTCAACTTTATTCAGCAATTATAAATTTGAGGATACTATACTCTTAAGCATGTAGGAAATACATTTTAATATGCCAGTTTTCTTTTTCTTTCTTTTCAGTGCTGGGAATGGAACCTAGGGCTTTACACATGTTAGGCAAATACTCTACCACTGAGCTACATACCTTGGCTGGTGTCCCAGTTTTATCTACTTGTTGATAACAGGTGCCTGAAGCAACTTATTAATTCAGCTTAAAAAAAAAGATCTCAAGGCTCAAATGTTAAGGTGTGTGTATATTTGCTGGAGGTGTAGGAAATGGGAATTCGTTAACATGAATGCCACTTAACTTGCCATCATTTCAGATTTAAACTCTTACTATATAGCTTTTACAAATAAGAATTCTCCACTAGCAAATACATTTCTACATTTTGAGACTTTAATTGTTTGTAATGATAACTATACTGTTTTATACAAAAGATACTTCTAGTGTCAATATACTACTTATAAAAGTGATTATAACATTATTGATATTAAATGTTCATGGCAAAATTCAGAACAAATAGAAAATTAAAACTAAAAACATGTATCTGAACTGTAATGACTATTCTGCATGACACCAATTTTTGTGCTATGTATAAGCAAGTATGATTAAACACATTAATGACTAATACACTTATTATTCATTCCCACTTATATCACAGCACACTTCTTTTTTTATGTCTTTATTTTTATGTGGTGCTGAGGATCGAACCCAGTGCCTTACCTGTGTGAGGCAAGCACTCTACTGCTGAGCTTCAACCCCAGCCCTTCACAGCACACTTCTTTAGTAATTACCCAAATAACCAACTCCAAATTAATTATTTTTAAATTAAAGTATCTCATAAATATTCAAATCCATACATTGATGTTTTTACATAGTCTCAAATGACTTCACATAGAATACTTATTAATTTACAATTGGAAAACTTGACAGATGGCATTCTTGACCAAGTGAAAAAAATGTACAGTAAAAGACAAATCAACACTGTGTGCCCCTGGTTTAGTGTACCGTGAAAAACATTATTACTCTATTGTATTCCTGCTAAAATCTATAAATAATTTCAGAAAAGTAAAAACTAATCTGCTGTTCTACAAAAAGGAGGCCTATACTCTTTAAAGATGTAATCATGAAAGATAAAAACTGAAGAACAGTAGAGACTGAAGGAAACCAAAGAAACATGACAATGAAGTACTATGTCTGATCTTGGATTGGATTTCTGATTGTAAAGTCCATTATGGAACAATTTGTAAAATCCGAGTCAGGTTTGTGGGCTAGATAACAAAATATTACCTATGTTAATTCAATAAATGTACTGTGGTCGCAGGGGAAAGTATCTCCTTTTATAAAATATCAACTGATATATTAAGGACAATGGGACATCATGCCCATAATTTGGTTCAAAGAAAAAAACCACATATATACACATACATATATATTAACTATTAGTTTATAATATTCATTTAGTTTATTAACTAGTATTAATTTATACAAGTATATAAAAAGGAAGAATAAGGCAAATATGGAAAAATAATAAAAATCCAAGGAACTGGGTGCCAAGTGAAGAATATAATGGTATTTTCTGTATCATTCTTGCAACTTTAAATTTCAAACTACAAATTTGAAATTGTCTCAAAGATTATTTTTAAAACATACAATACACAGTATTCTATAATATCTAATTTTAAAATCTATTATATATACAGTAATCTAAACTTCTCTTTGATTTAATTCAATTTAAAGGGTTCAACAAAATTTATCAGCAAACTAACCCCCAACCCAAATTATGCTAATCCTAATCCCTACTATTTTCATTCTTTGTTCTCCTCTAACTTTTCCAGAACCTAAACAATCAAGTTTCCAAAGGCCTCTCAGGAAACTTACTCCATCATTCAAGCATGGAAGTAACATAAAGCACAAACACAATTAATGCCTTCTATATACACAATTCCTGATTCTAGGAACAGCATTTTATCTCTATGAATGAAGTGTGATATCATTTTTAGTACACAGTCTTTGTTTGGGATGAAAGCTCCTTTCTTTCCTAATTTGTTTAATTTTTTTCCCTTCTAAGACACAAATGTGTTTTTAGTTTTATTAAATTGCACTTCTTTGGAATTTAATGAAGTAGACACATAATTTTTCCTTTTCACCTGTAAATGTAGTAAACAGTTGCTTTTCTAATGTTAAATTATCCTTGAAAGTTCTGGAATAATCTTTTGGATTGTTTTTAAGTAAATGTTGAATTCAATTTATAAATATTTTATTTAGGATTTTTCTTCCCCTATTTTCTCAACTGAACTGGCTGGTAAGCATCTTGGTCTGGTGCTTGGGGTCATGGTTGTGCTAGTTTCGTAAGATGAAATGTTCTCTTTTCGCTTCTTCTGAAATCATTTAGTAAAGCAAAAATTATCTGTTCCTTGAATATCTGCTGAAGCTCAACTTGTAAAACTACTAATTTTCTTTTGCAGGAGGGTTGGGAGAAGCTACATTTTAAGCGTCTGATAAAAATCCCTTTAACTGTTTTTAGATATATTCAAATTTTTCATGTTCTTGAATCTACTGGGTATTTTTGTCCCCCTCTCCTAGAAAACTGACCACTTCAGTGTAGTTTTCAAATTTGTTGGCACGAAGTTGCTCATATTCAAATTATGGTAGACTCCTTATAAATGTGACAATAATTGGGGATATAGCTCAGTTGGTAGAGTGCTTGCCTCGTATGCACAAGGCCCTGGGTTCAATCCCCAGTAACACACACACACACACACACATACACACACACACAAAGACAATAATTCCTCTTTCCATACCCAAACCTTTGTGTAGTATAGCTCTACGCAAACGGTTGGCACCACTATGTGACTTGTTTTGGCAATGAGACAATTAAGCAGGAAGAAACATCATAAACTGCCACGTACTTGAATACCTTCTGTCAGGGAATACCCTCTCCCTTGCTATTCTTTTTCTGAAACCATCATGTAAACAACACAGAATCAGTGGAGGATGAAGTTATGTGGAGGATAACTGAAGTCCCAGCCAAGAGCCAGATACAGAAGATCATTCTACATCATCTAGTCACCAAACAACCTATCAACGGACCAGATACAAGAAAGGAACCCAGAAGAAAAGAGCTGAATTTTCTTAGACCCAAAAAACTTCTGCCAACCCAGGGAACTGTTCAGTGTGTAAAATGGCTATTTCAGGATGCTAAGTTTTGAAATGGTTTATTATTAAACAGTAAGAACTACTGATGCACTCATGTTTTAAAATGTTATAATTAGATTAATGCACCTTTAAAAATTCCTGACATCACTTGTTTCTTCTCTACTTGCTATGAATTTCTCCTATCAAGTACCTACCACTTTAACTACATGTTCTGACATGAATTTTTTTTGATTCCCAAAGTATTCAGAAATGCTTTAAAACTATGAGGTTTTTATAACTGTCTTCCTCTCTGATTTGTAAATTAATCACATTGTGGTCAGAGCACATGTTCTACATAATACACTGAAACTAACGGACATCTGCTTTGCACCAGAGGTTCTCAAACCTTCTTTGTCCACACTGTAGGCTAAAGGAAGTAAATGGCAGTTTATGATGTAGATAAGTCTTTTTCTGGCAAAAAGAAAAACATAAATTCAAAGAAGAAAATGACTTCACTCTTAGATAGAATATGTGATTGAAAGAAATACATAGTGCTTTAAATGTTCAACTATCTAAGATCTAACAGTTCTATGATATCTGTCACTGTATTTCTTTAAAATTTTATAATGTCCCAAGGTCCCTTTTGTTCAATGTGGTATCCAACAGTACCTCAGGAAATAATAAACTATCACAAAATCAGTTTCCAACTATGTATATAGTTTTATATGATTCTAAAACAAAAAATGTGTGAATGAAGCTATCTTCTATAACTGTGTGTTTAATCTATTCATTACTAAGAAGGAAGTCTCCCACAGTGATTACACCTTTGACAAATTTGTCCTAATTTTGCCAATTTTTTTTTTATATGTATCTGGGAAAATTATTAGGCATATATTATAGCTTCTTAGTAAGTTGTTTCTTTTATCAACAATTAGATAACCTCTGCATTTAAACTGAAATCGACCTAGGCCAAAATATCTAGGGCATAAGATCCATACTTTACACTCTCTCTCTCTCTCTCTTTAAATATCTTTTGGTTGCCAATGGACCTTTATTTTATTTATTTATAATGTGTGCTGAGAATCAATCTCAGTACTTCACACATGCTGCACAAGTGCCCTACCACTGAGAAACAATCCCTGCTCCCATACTTTACTCCTAATGAAGACATGTACAAGCCAAGCAAAGGTAACATGATATGATTAATCATTAAAGGAAACTTCACCAAAACTAGTAATTTGAGGCTAAATGTGTAGCTGTACTATATCACATGCCAGGTATGTGCAAGGCCCTGGGTTCAATCCTTAGCAGCACTTAGAACAATAGTAGCAACAACCAAGAAACTATAAACAAACAAACAAAAAACCACTATTAACAACTTGAATTATCCATTCACTTGACACACCCTAGAGATTTTTGCCCTCCTGAAAGTTGTATTACAATATATTACGCACCCATAAAAAATAGTCCTTTCTTTTGTCATGTGTAGGGGAGTTCAGGGGGTATGTGTACTAGTTCAATTTCATCACCCACCTATTCTCAAACACCCACATAAATTAGATCATTTCTTGAGTTCCTTTAAAAATTCATTATAAATCTATTAATCATGTACTATACTTATCTAATTCTTTTCAGATTTTCTACTATATTAAAGCACAACAAATTGCCACTTAATAGGTCAAAAAAGATTAGATAGAAATTTCTATGTCTCAACCTAATACTTCCAATACTCAGTTAATAAGTTCTGTATGTTTATTAATTTACAGATA